TCAGAGCATCAAATGATATCACTGCAGTGACTCTGACCCGGAGGTTCTAGGTTCGAGTCCCGAAGGTGACAGAATTTTCGACAATACCTTGTCACCTAGGTCGAACTCAATCGCTGCCTGGTGGAGAACTCTAGCGGCCGGCCGTTCCGATCGGTAGTTTTCTGTGGTTTCTGCGATCAACACCAGGCGAAGACCGTAGCAGTACCCTAACAAACGAGCCACGGGCCGCGCGCGATCTTTCCTACCTCTTCCTTGTTGTATCCTTATCCTTTACACACACACACACACACACACACTAGCATGCACTACACAACCACACATAACGGGAGACCGGTCGGGAACTTAGAGCTTATCCCGGCTGGGACGGCTGATGGAAGATACCTGGTTAGGGAAAACCGCACTACCCGACGGTAGGTCGGCGCCGGTTCTCCCTATCCAGCGGGAGAAGAGCACCACAACCGCCCGAGCAAAAACATACACTACACTTACAGAACTAATAACCCTAGTAGTTGACGCACCAGGAAAAATTTAAGGAGATATTTAAATTCAGCGCGTGGTAAGGGAAGGCAGCTTAAAATAATTTGGGGATTTAAAGTTTGTAGTCAGCAACAAGATGAACCCTGATATTTAATCAGAGACGATATTCGGGAAATAGTCTTGCACTGCAGTTATGCCAAGCATTATACAAATCTATTAGCCAAATGAGGATGGACACAAACAGATGGACGTACAAAATTACAACACTGGACCCTAGGACTGGCAAGAGAAATGTCAGAAGACAGCGAACACGGTACTGAGACGGCGTGGTAAGAAGATTGGGAAGACGATGGACCACAACAGCAGGCGACCGCGCAAAATGGAGAGAAGTCATTCACACACTCGATGAAGTCAGCTGAGAAAAAAATAACTGTGAAGTGATAGTCAAAAGTGATAGTGAAGTGATAATAATTAGACATGAACAAAATGATGGAAACAGTGAAAAGTAAACAATAAATAGTAACGAAGAAGCTATCTAGCTTATAAATTTAGAAGCTTACAATGTAAGAGGTTTTTTCCCTATTAAGGGATGTGAATAGGCTAGTAATAAAATTAGCGGAATGTATTCCTTAAAAACACCGGCAACACAATCGCATCACGATAAAAAGACTTTACATCGTTTGTGCCAGAATTAAAATTTTAAATTCACAGGATTACTTCCCTTTGATGGATTTCCTCGTCCACATACAAGATAATGCATGACCCCTGTACAACCAGTTTTAGTGTTCTTGCCAAACAGTTGTCTCCGATGAGTTGATTACCAATAACGTGCAAATACCACAAGCGTATCTTCGATATATGAGCTTCCCTTCCATATGTTGGTTTTTGATAATTTTGGATTTACCAATTTTGGAATTATATCATTAATTTATACATTCAACTAATTACAATAAACAAATTATTACTTTCATAACATTAATAGGAGAAACAATGTGAGTGTGCCGCGTAGTGCAACTAGTTTGACGTTAGTATTCGTTTTATGTTAATTACGGTCGATCAATTAACCTCAATAAAATTCAGACATTTATTTCGCATTCCTGATCGTAGACACATGTAGTGTTATCTTGCACGCATCCCATATTTCCAATGCTTAATGGAGATCTTTTTTCGATCCATGAGGCACGGAATAAAGAGATCAATCCATCGCTCGGGCCGGACAACCGGGAGAGTAAAGAATCGCAAGAAGTTCTCGACCGAAGAGGCACGGAATAAAGAGATTAATCCACCGTTCGGACCGGACAAAAGAGAGAGTGAAGAAACGCACGTAGTTTGTCAGTCAGACAGCTGCATCCGACGCTTGCCAGAGATTTGCTATGACAATGTGCGGTTCAATCATATGTAATAGGTATCAACCTTTCACTCACTCTGGGAATGGGTGTAGGGGTAGGAGGAAGATAAAAGGATACCGGTCCTTTGTTCGAGGTATTACTCCTCTGGCATTCGCTGGCGATTGGTCGCAGAAAACCACGGAAACGATCTCTCAGATCTGCATGCGCACGGCCTCATCACCGAGTGTCAGATCTGCATGCGCACGGCCTCATCACCGACTGGATGGCTGTGAGCTGCGACTACAGGAACAACGGAAGGCATCAGATTTGAAGGCTCATTCACAATGAAAACATTTACGTTAACGCAGAAGTGAGGGCATAAACACGTGCTTTTAACGTGAACTTCAACGTACCATTCACAAAGACCATCAACGTAAACGTGAATACGGTCACTTATCGACATAATGACCTGTCCAAACAACTGATAGCTAGCCCTAAATTTCTACGCTCTACAATCGAACGGATGTAAGCGAAATGGCTTTGAAAATTCTAGTAGTTCGATGTTTCCGAATGTAATGGTCGCGATAAGGGATTCTAAAGCGCGATTTATCAGTTTTGAGTGTGAAATGAAATGTATGCTGTTACAACGAACGTGGCCTCTCTATCGACAATGTAAGACGTTATTTGAACATTGC